GTTGATCACCTCGGTGTACCCACCGATCGTTTGCCCCCTTCTCTTATAAAAAAAGAACATTCTCAACCGAACATATTCTAATTTTGAATACACCGCCATAAAAAATGACGATCTGCGTATCCTTGATTTGAAAAATACGAAATAAAGATGTTCAGTTGACGACTGTCGCTTTGTTAACCTTACAATTGCGAATATTTTGGATGAAACCAGAAGTGGCAACCCTAAATCATGTTGTACTTTTAATGAATTAAGTCTACAAATACATGATACTTCTTCATAATAGCATTCTTTGTATTTAAGTACACTGGTTTCACAAAAGATCAGTTAAAGTAATTAATTGAGGAAAAGTTAATGTTAGTTCTTTCAACGCTCTCACGGAGTAACCATTTGTGTTAATCACATTAAACTTTAGCTAGAACTTCGACTCTTTGACGATGGGATTTCCGTCTTCATTGTGTTTATCTTATTCTCTACACAATTTACTAATTACTTAAGTCTAAGAATGACCTTTTGTAGCACTCTATGTGCGCTGCACGAGTTCGTCTAATTGCTTGATTAATACCCCAGGTCTCCAGCCAAGCAGTCAATTGTTCTCTATTTATATGTCTGAAAATATCATTGAATCAAAGAGTAGATAACAAAAAGTATAATATTATAAATTTAAGCAAACTTACTTTTAATTTTTACAAATCTTTCGCAATCAAAAGCATCCTTTTTTCTTTACAATTCGATTCGCAATGGAAACATTTATCTTTTGTTTATTGAAATGGCAAAACAAACATTAATAAGACTATAACGCACTTTTATACAGATATTTCGGTAGTGGAAACTGACCTTTACCTTACAAAATTTTTACCATATAACTACGTTTATTTCGCTGCATAACAATGGAAGGTAAATGGCCCCAATCTTAAACCGTGATTGTGTAAAAAAACTGCTATTTTCAAATACATTTCAGATGTAGATAGGTGAGACAAGATGTTACTACACGAACCACCGAATGTCATAGTTAATTTATATTCAGGAACAGAGTAAACCACAACATGGTCGCTGTACTTGACTACGAATTAACATTTGTATATAAGAGCTTTATTAATGTTTAATATCGATTCTAAATCATACTACTTGCTATCATCTTATTCAAAGAAATTGACTAACTATGTAAGACATTGAAAATTCTTGTCTTTAATAAAAATCAAAAACTTAATTAGTAGCCTACGTGATCGTTTAGACTATGTTCTACATCTATGCTAAATTTCATAAAGATCTGTTGAGTATATATATATATATATTAGAGCCCGGATACGGACATAGGATACTATTTATTCATTTTTTTTCGAATTTATGCCTTGAAGAGCTGCTTTTAATTTAACATACTAATATTATAAATGCGAATGTTTAGATGAATGTGATGTGGATGGATGGATGGGGATGGCGGACGGAGTCGCGGGCGACAGTTAGTTTATAATAAAGTTAGAATAAATAATAAATCACTAATAACCTTAACAATTGTTCTAAGGGAAACTCTATTATATTTAGTTACATAGTGGATGTGATGTGGATGGATGGATGGGTGGACTACACAATTTTTTATATATAACCACGCGGACGGAGTCGCGGGCGACAGCTAGTTATTTATAGATAACATATAAATAGTCATAAACAATATGATAATTTTCATCAACGATTCTCTATGCAGCATATTAACGGATTCATCAAAATGTAAATCGAATAGATTCTGTACTGTGAATAGATCTCCGCTATGATCACATACGGTTAAGTTTTCAACACAAACCTCGCCTTAGAGGATGGATCAAATAATATTTCATAAAAAACATAAAGCTCTTTGCCCATGAAACGATTAAACGTTTCCAGCCAGATTTTAATTAACTTTACTAAAATCGAAATGTTAATTAAATTATAGAATGAAGGTTTATAAAGAATCTTTTGATTATTTTCTTTTTAAAAAAAAGGGAAAATTTACTCAAATCAGTAATAATTTAAATATTACTATTAGTTTGACTCTTTGACCATAGGAAATTTAATTACGATATCTATGCTCTTTATCTTTCTCTCTCTCGATACTTTGTTGAGAAAAATGTTTAATAGTTTACAGCCACATTTTATACCAAATCAAGCTTGTATAAATATACTAGCTGTCGCCCGCGAGTCCAGCCGCGTTGAATTATAATAAATTATAATTCTATATGAATGCGAAATTTCATAGAGTTCCGTTCAGCCGATCTAGAGATACCTTCAAACAAACATCCATCCATACATTTAAACATTCGCATTTGTAATATATACATTATAGACTGGCTAGTAACTGCTACTGTTTTATATTTTCGTTTTTATGGTTCCGTACCACATAGGAAAAAAACGGAACCCTAATAGGATAACTTTGTTGTCCTTCCATCTGTCCAATGTGTTTTTCGATTTCCGATATACATATGTACATTTAACCAACGTTCTTATGGTGAACGAAAACATCGTGAAACAACCTGCACATATCTGAGAAGAAATTGAAAGATATGTGTGAAATCAACCAACCCGCACTTCGCCAGCGTGGTTGATTATAGCCTAATCACCCCTAACTTAGGTTAGGTTCCGAGCCCCTCGGGGACTAATAGTGAGCTGATGATGATGAATATTTTCTTGTTAGTTTACAATAAAAGGAATTAACGAAATGTATTACAATTAATAAAGTTCAAATATTAGTATGATGAAAGTATTAACATTTAAAAGGTTCATTAACTACAAGTTTGTACCAGAAATGTGTACACGTCAATTAAATAACTTTCAAAGCAAAAAAAACCTAACCTAAACTAATTAAAAACATTTTCTCTGTGACGAGATAGTTTATGATGTTTTAAAGTTTTTCTAAAGTGTGCGTTCGCGTATAAAAAAATGTTCTATGCTTTTAAAATTTACATTTCATGTTGAACGTATTAAAACATATAATAAAAAATAACATTTTTAACATATGCTAACTAAGCTTTTTCTAAACCAACATAGTATTATCTTGATGTATAAAACAAGCTGCTTTGTCTAATATATAAAAAAAAATTACTGAACTTACTCATTTTAATTATTAGCTGCGCTAAGAAAATTCTTATTAGAATCTATTCAATTTATATTATAAAACATATTTAATATAATCTCTAACACATTAACAAACATTTCAATTATTTCTCATTAAGGTTTCAGTGCTATGGAGTATTCTGTGAAGTAAAATAATTAAAAGTATAACATTATTTTCAATATATATATTTTTTATAAGAGATTTGGACAAACGAGCTGTGAGCGATATGATTTTTTACGATATTACACACAGACAAATCAATTTTGTTAACTTTTGACATAAATTTTACCATTTTTACAACATAACAAAGATAAGTACAAGCTAAATAAACAAACACAAAAACCAACAGAACATTAATAAAACAAAAAATCCCTTATATCCTAAATAATCTTTTGAAAAAATACAATTTCAGAATCACACTTCAATATCTAGCAGTAGCTAGAATAAAACAAAATTCATAAACCACTCATCGGTCGAACAAAAGGAAACTCAAAGCCGAATAATCCGATGAATGGAACAAGAGTAAAACGAATTCGTATATATTATCTGTTCGAGAAATCGCAAATAACGAGTGAAAAATTAACAAACATTAACTGTATATTCGTATTGACTTACTTTTAGTATTATTTTTATGCAGAGAATTGAGAGTTATAAAAACATTAGATAGGTAAAAATAAACATGTATGTTTTAAATGGCAAAGGGAATATGCGGTATACTGGGAAAGGCATTACGCAAGGCCCATCACTAGGCTAAAGGTGGGCTGATATTGTTAAGGAAATAGTAATCGTGGGACGTCTTTTACTTTTAAAATCTAATACAATTAAAGTAGCTCTGGTCAGTGACTCCTTCCGTGCGAAATAAAAAAAAACTTTATTAGTAGTCTATGTGTTCTTTCAGACTATATAGCAGTGCCTAATTTCAGAATCATGCAGCCATTCTGAAGATACCATCTAATAAACATCCATCCACCGTTATAATATTAGTAAGAAATATTTTACTTTAGCGTGCTTTGAGTCAAGTTTAAACTTTCGAAGTTGTAACAAATTTTGACACAAGAGTACATTAAAAAATAAAATATATTTTTATACAAAACAAATTGATAAAACAGTATATTATAATGCGTGGATAATAATTATACAATATACTATTGTAAAATATATTTTTATCAAATGCGTTTTCTTAAAGCATATCGCAAACTTTATACCGGCCGGGAATCGACAATATGTCCGCTGTTATCACTACAAACAGCTAGCGAACATTATTCCATATGACACAATTACGAAATTGTTTATATTGCAATGAATGTGTACCAAAGATTATATATATTTTATTTTTATCCTGCGTTACGAAATAACGACTTTAGAATATTTTAGCAAAGAATAAAAAAGTTATAAAACAGCTTAACTCCGGAATCAGATAACAGAAATTAAAAAGTGGAATAAATTACAAGATAAAAGCATCTTTCTAATTCAAATGTATCTCTTGCACTTTCAACTAACGCATCGACAATTAGAGAAAGTTACATTACCGTTAGTAGCAATTTATATCAATATTATTATAAGGTTTTTAAAACCTAGGAAAATTTAAAATTACCGGTCTTTGTGCGTCAATTTTAATTACGTTTCAAATTATAATTTTTTAATTTTAATATATTATTTAATGACAATAGTTTAAAATAGAAAAGTTTATAAGTTTTTGGTAAAAGTAGAACACGTCGCTATTGCTGCGAATGAGTAGATCGCGTCATCGCTCGCTTGCGTGGCAAACGCGAAGAGGCTCAGCGTCATTGAGTGATAACACTATATCTTATTCACTTCATCGTGAACAGTAACGCACTGGCCAGAGTGAGAGGTCAACATCGCTGGCCACATCGCGCTCGCTAACGGCAAAGTTTCACGAATTCCAACTTGGTTGGCAAAACCAGCTCAGTTGCTTTGCACCGGTCGTTGGGAGTGGACGTCTTTTTAGCCGAAGCGATAACTTTCCGTAACTTCAAGATGCGCTGCGTGTTCGTGCTGTTAGCACTGGCTGGAGCTACGTTTGCGGCTACCGAGCCGGAATTTAAGATAGATGTTGTCAGCGTTCCCGAAGAATGCACGACCAAGTCCAAACACGGCGATATGCTGACCATGCACTACACTGGCACACTTGAAAATGGCCACAAGTTTGACGCAAGGTAAGTGAACTTATTGTTTAAAACAATTATTTCAGATTTATTTAATAATTTGTTACAACGTGACTACAAAAAAATAAGATCAGAGGTCATATCCGGTTGATGATTAGAGGAGGAAAGGACGATAAGTGAGTAGGTACAGACGCAATAATAAAAAAAATTGTACGTGATTAAATTATTGTTAAAATGTGTGCATTACTTGCAGTAATGTGACTGACCTACTTTATTCATCTATCATAAATTACTCCAACAATAGTTGTTACTATCTTTTGAAAGTTATAAAATTTGATCGCTTCCGTTATTTCGTACCTAAAATAGCGTATTTTTTATTTTATATCTTTTTATGTTCTACTCGTATCTACACAAAATGCAATTATTTTTTTCACAGTCCTTTAATTAATTAGTGTCCGATCTTATTGATATATATTTTTATCTTATTAAAATTTAAATGACATATTTCGTCGATAAGAAATATGATTATATTAAAAACACGTACGTGTAATATATACCTACTAATATACCGTAAGCGTTCCTAATCAATTTGCCGCGTTGTAATTTTATTTCTAATGCTTTCAAAGAATTGCGTTGCTGCGTTATTTATTTTATAATTTTTGCATCGCGTATTTTTAAAATTAGAATTTGATTCACATAAATCAAACCGTTTTAGAATCATTTGTTTTTTAATTATTTTTTTTATTAACCGGTTGCCAGCGATTTTTGCTGCGGGCTGAATGAATTTAATATTATATTATCGAATGGTCAAGGTAATTAAAATTCACACTCTTACTAAGACTTAACGTTATTGAATAATGAAATGAAAAGGTACACGGGTTTGATTCTGCTGGTGAGACTTCGTTTTAAATTTTTTTGTTCTATTAAAAAGTCCTTTTTTTATTTTAATTTATTTAATTTACATATCAATTTTAGACTTGATCTGTTCACATTTGTGACAAAAGATTAGTCTAACGGTAAACAAATATCAAATTGAATTTCAAATGACTATTTTATGAATTAAATTATAACGATTGCAATACTCAAAGATTGGGTAGAGATTTGCGGCCAAATGAAACTGCATCGCAATGTTCCATTTGATTGGAATGGTAAATTTGACAAGTATCCAGATTAAAAGGATAATGAAAATTGCCGCAATACATCTTACTCTTTTCACCAATTGGCAATATATTCGGTCTGATATTTACTTTAAAAAAAATAAATGGTAAGAATTTATTAAATTTGTTGCACAATAAAAAAAAAATATGATAATTAATAAATTGATTTTTTCTCTTAGCCTAATTGTATTTAAATTTGATTTCGATTTGATGGTTATTTTTGGTTTGGTGAAAGACTTCTTTGTGATATGTCTACACAAAGTACTTCCTTGGCTTGTCTTATAGTAGTCGTGATGCCGAGTATTATTTGGACTTGTCCAGACCATCGTCTATATGATAAGCACCGTACTCTCGCTGTCAATCTTCCACTACCAATTTGTCCAAATTATGTAGTTAACTTCGGACAATATGATCAAAGTACAACGGCGACTTTACCCTATAGTCCGTCTCGGTAGTAGGTAGTAAACAGCTCCTCTTGGCACTAAAGTAACCTTTATTAAGCATATATATTTATTTTTAAATATTAATCGAAAAATACTTTTGAATGCAGACTTGACTAGCTTGAATAAATTTCTATTGCAAATCGCAAAGTCCAGCTCATTGAATAATACTTGATTTGAAATATATTTCTTTGTTCTTAAATCTTCTATAATTGATAAACAAAAAAGCAACATTTTATTTATTTTATTTGAGGTGAGTGGAAAATTTAAAAACTTTGGCCTTTAACACGGCAACAGCAAACGACTTGGAGATGTAATAATACGGGGCGTATAGCAAGTATTAGACTGGCATGGCGGGCTGGCGGGCTAGAGAGCCGTATGGAAGCCGAATTTAAGACTGAGATATGTGATTAGCTCTGTGGAGTTGTGCTTGTTTCTTGAACTCAAAGGGGAACTTTTGTTATTACCGTTTATGCGAGTGTACGGAAATTTACAGTTTAATTACAAACGCTGCTAATTTAATTTTGGGCATAAACTCACTCGGTATTATGTGGGATTACCTGTTATTTCAACAAAACATAGATTGAGTTTTATCAGAAAATCTATACAATACAGTGATGTACATGTAAGCCAAGCCGTTCATGCGTTTTAAATAACAGCCGTAGTCAGATCGCTATGGTAATTATTTTCCTGATAAAACTTTTATTTAATTCAGCTCAATTTTCTTAATTGAACTTTTTTTACTAAATATTTTTTACACAGAATTGTAAAAGTATTTAAGACTTAATATAACAAATATGCTACACTTTCCTATGATTATCTTACAATTTTAATGTTCTTCATGATATTTTCGCCTCAGCATAATCAGCTTTAAAGAGTATACGGCGTTTTAAAGTTTATAATCCCCACTTTAATAATAAGTTACTAGTTATTTGTTAGTGCGCAGTTTTTATCCAAAGTATTTTTGATAAATGTTTGGTTAGCTTTACCTGTGGTACATTTATTTGACATAAAAGTTTGGCAGTCAACCTTTTCCAAAAAAGGATTTCATGCAGCACCTCCATCGGCACACGCGGTCGTTGCATAAAAAACTAAACCCTTTGTTATTTCGATGTTCGGCTAACGAATGACAAAATTTGGAACATTCTATTTAGAGGCTGTAGCCGCGTAAAGTTTGGTGGAAATTTTAGCAATTTGCTAAAACTTTCATCCAATTAACATATAGAATAAAGTAACAATTATTTGTTTAATTTTAAAAAGTTTCTTTTAAATAATCGGAACGTTGAATCAGTTATTTTGTACGCTTTCTATTTTCGTATAGCTCAAATTAATATTTTGTTACCAAACATGTATATAATGGCCGACAGTTATTCGTGCTGTGCATTTTACTCAGGATTTGAGACGCGGCTGACATGATTACAATAGAAAGTTGCTATGTATCCAATTTGAATGTACAAAATCTAGGATGAATTGTACATTTTAATGGATAACAAACTAAAAGCATATGAATATCGTAGGATAACATTATTGATATTGTATTTCACTTTTTTAGCCGACTTCAAAAAGATGGAGGTTATCAATTCGTCTGTATGTTTTTTATGTCTGTTACTGCGTAACTCCGCCCCTGGGAGCACCCATTTTGATTTTTTTTGTATTAAAAATAATCAGTTTTTATATTTTTAATAAATTTGATAAACTTATTGCAAAACAACATCGGTTATTAACAACGATCTTTGTGAACTGTTAAGTAATAATTTATCTGATTTCTGAATAAAATTAAACAATAACAAATTCACTTTTGTTAATGATAAAACCTATCAAGTTCACCTTGAAACTCATTGAAACTGGAAAGTTTCGTTTAAAACTTGTCGTGTCTGTGCAAAGACTTAAAACACTATCGATTAAGCGGTGCAAAGTTAGATAACCATTATAAAGTGAAACTATTTTCAAGAGTTATATGAACGGAAGTTAGTGCATCATTACCGTGACATCCGTAATTTGTTTTCTTACTGAGAACAGTGTAGTTACTAAAAAGTTATAATCTGACATACTTATCTGACCCGGTGAAGTCAAACTAAATGATGACCGCACACTAGCGCCCTCATTACAACATGACAAAAATCTCGAGATCCTCTTCGTACTGTAGTTATGATTTCTTTATTCCGTGTTTACCCATTTAGGTTTTAAATATTATCTGACAGAAGTAACTGACTCAGATATTCAACTCAAATGAAAATGTCTTTTTGCTTGGAGCTAATGATTGAGGGGAAAAGCAAAGATTTGTTGTCCCACAAAAGTGGTCGACAGATAATATCGAATAATAAATCGCAGAAAAATTACGTAAAAAACGCACAGCAATATTCGAACTAAAACTAAGAGAAAAGTCAAAAACGGATATATTTATTTAAAACTCGTCCACAAAGTCAGCAGACTCAGAAACGAGTTAGCTCCCAAGTAAATTTTTGATCACCTGCCTATTCCTATGTTAGTGAAGCAATGGCGATAAATATTCCATTTTAAATTGCGGTTGTTGAGGTCAGACGTAGCGAAGTAGCTGTAGAAACCGCAACCAAATCCTAATGTTTATTCAAAACGTATAACAATGGCTCGTGTTACCAGAAATAACATGATAAAGCGAAATCTAACCTAAATTATATTGATAAATTTTCGTTCCCATACTCCTCCGAAACGGCTTGACCGATTCTCATGAAATTTTGTGAGCATATTGAGTAGGTCTGAAAACCGGCCAACATCTATTTTAAATCCCGCGCGGACGGTGTCGCGGGCGACAGCTAGTCTTATATATAAAATTCTCGTGTCACAATTTTCGTTCCCATACTCCTCCGAAACGGCTTGACCGATACTCATGAAATTTTGTGGGCATATTGAGTAGGTCTGAGAGTCGGCTACTATCTATTTTATAATCCCACGCAGACGGTGTCGCGGGCAACAGCTAGTGTGATATAAATGTAGAAACAATAAAATCGCGCGGAAATAAAAAAAAAATATTTAGTAGCCTTTGTGCTCGTCCGCACTTTATCCTACATCTATACCAAATTACAAAACAAGCAGCCGTTCTAGAGATACATTGCATCAAACGCCCAACTATCCATCTTACTATAATATTATAAATGCGAATGTTTAGATGGATGGATGGTTTGTTTGAAGGTATTTCCCAGAACGTATTGAACGGATTGAATGGATCTCATTGACATTTGGCATAGATGTAAAACATAGTCTAGAAGAATACATAGGCTATTAATTATCTTATGCGGCCGGAGCGGACGGAGTCACAGGCGACAGTATATTTATAATATTGGAAACATTATGTCTTGAAATATACATAGACTGTAAAGGAAAATTTACTTCGACGCTGTCGCAATGCTTTCAAGGAGCAATTCAAATTACCTATCCCAGTTCCATTAATGTAAACTTGTTGCACAGGAACGTAATG